ATCCCGAAGTAAGTAACATATGTGTAACAAAAACCACACTATTACGCAAAAGTGAATGAAATGGGCTGTCAACGCAGAATCTCATTTGTCTAAGACAAAATACACGAACTTTCTGGTAGTTTACACATACCAAATTTCATTCGCCGACATCACCCGTGAAAAGTTAACTAACAGGAGATGATCTTAAGACAAGACACCGTAGGCTAACTAAATGTGGAAAGTTATGGCTTCAGTTTTTGCCTGTGTTTCTAGATAACAGTATTTTTTTGGAAACTTTGCGGAACATAAATTGTTTTGTTACAGCGTTCGTTTCTCGCTGCCTATATCCAATCTTGAGCGAATATTTTTTTATGAAATATACTGTAAATTGGGCACATCGTTCGCAAAGTTTTTCTATCCAGAATAGTTATATACACATATTTGTTTGTTTTAATCTATACCCTTAACATGTCAACATGTCAACATTAAAAGCTGTGTGGGTTGTAAATCTAATTAAAAGAGAATTATTTTCAAATTAAATGTTTAAACATATTTACGATAATATGAAAAAAACATACTACCGTATTCATTATTAAAAACGCTTTTAATAATGCTGCTTGATAAGTTCGACTTGTAGGACGAAAGGTACCACAAATTTCTCTTAATTTCCCTACCATTCGGGTTCTCGCATGAACGATACGGTACACTCTCCTTAACCATCAAGGAGTCCCATTGCGCCAAATATGCTTTCACTAGTGGACTCATGTTCGATACCTCCTAAAAGGACGGCTTGTAATTACTATTTTACATTCTATAATTAACTTTAAAGACGGATATTCGAATCGAGCTTTTCTAAAGCCTTCAAACGATAATTCTTTTTCATTAAGTTCAAATTGTACAATTTTTGTAACACTTACTTGGACATCATGTTTTTCTTCTTTATTGCAGTGTTTACAAGTTCCCTCACAAGGTCTTCTCGATAGAGAGTCTGCATTAATATGACTTTTTCCACGACGATGACTGGTGTCTCGATCCACCGTTTTCCTTACAAAAAAACTTTTACATTGAGAACGTATATGGCCTTTTTTCCACACCCCCAACAACAAATTACATTGCTTGGAGAATCTTGAATCAAACGTTGAATATTGGCAGCCTTTACCTCATATTCCTCTTCAGCTTCAACCGTTCTAATTATCTTAGTCAACCGAGTCGCCTTTATTGCAGCTTCAATGTCAAGCGCCTTGACCAAGGCATCTTGCAAAGTCCGAGGACTGGATAATCGCACAATCTTCTGAACTTCAATATCCTCTATACCCTCTACGAATTGTTTTGATGCGACTAATTCTTGCGTTTCCAGTGGGGAGTTTACAAAAACTTTTTTTGCTAACGTCTGAACTTCATACGCGTACGACGTAAGATCTTCGTTTAGACTCTGTATTCTATTTCGAAGTTGACCATACAAAAGTTCAGCTAAATGGGCATCACCAAATCTCAGTTTTAGTGCTGATGTGAGCTTCTCATAATTCAGTCGATCTTCCTGCGGCAAATTCTGCAATACATTTACAGCTGAATTCCTTAACATTGCCGCCAGTACATTAACCTTCTCTGAATTGTTCCACCCATTTAGGTCGGCTATGATATTGAACTGAGTGAAATATTCTTCCCACGAAGCCTTACCATCATATGGATTTGATTTAATAATGATTTTATTGCTCGCGTTCGTTGACATTGTCAACGGATTGATAGATGTGTCAACCATTCTCAAAGCTTCGAGTTTTTTATTAAATTCTGCTTCAACAGTAATTAATTTATGGTCTAACTTTGAAATTTCCTCTGTAAGACGTTCATTTAATACGGCCATTCTTTGTTCACAAACTTTAACCAGTTCTTCGCTCTGCACCCTAATGTTGTCTTCCAAAAGATTCTCCATCTTAATATTAATTTCAACCTTAAGAACTTCTAAATTGTTCCTCATTTCTGTCATCAGTTCTTCCTTATTTTGACTCGTATCTTCTTGAATCTTCCTCATCATTTCCATTAAATCTTGAAATTGCGATGATTCATCTCGAGTAGCCATTCTTCTCGTCAGCGGCATCAAAAACTTTTGCGAGAATCCCACTTCTGACACCAATTGTTACGTGGGTTTAATAAATCCTTGCAAAAGAAAAATAACTTTATTTTTCTGACAAGAGAGTACAATTTCAAATCTTATTCAATTTTTCTTTTTTTTATTTTCATGGATATCTTGTAACAATATATATAAAATTTTACAACAATCGATCTAGTGGTTTCAGATATAATCTGTATGTACCTATTCCTAGCAGTCTCCAAACTCGGGAAGACCCGTTATTTTGAAGTTGTATAATGTTCCTTAATTATCCATTCAAAACTGTTACATTATTAAGCTCTTGAAATCTTGACTTTCTGAGTTTTACCATTAGTTTTATTATTATTGCCTATTCAAAGTTTAATTTCTGTTACTATTATTATTATTTTTAATAAATCCAATCAAACGAGTAAATTGATGTAATTACCTTTAATTACCTTGGACTATGTTGAATTGTTATTGAATGCTAATTACAAATACTAATTGAATAGGTGCACGTGTTTAGAATTCGCAAAATCAAAATCTTTTAATTTTTCGGTACGGTACTTCAGAGGCGAGGGAAGTTCTGTCTAAACAACCTTAAACCTTTTTTGGTAGATATGTACGGCCATGAGGACAGATATTTAGGATTTTCTATTTTGAGTCGTCAAGTAAGTAGGTACTTATATTATCTCTAAAATTACTTACATCTAATCTTATTTGTTTCTGAAGTACAACCAATACCGAATGCACCTCGGGATTGTATTTTCAGTACAGTCTTCTTTAATAGTTTTTAAATTACGTCTTAAATTTAACGCGTTGCGATATGTTAACTATAACAACAAAAAAATAAAATAACTAATCATATTTTACTTTATAACCAAAATTTCTGAAAACTACAAAAATAAGTCATAAAACAATTCAATCCATACATGTTGTCCTACAGTGCAGTTATTACCAATCAACCAATTAATAACCGTCAGCGTATCGAAACATATCCCATTATTTTGATTAAATTCCACAATCCACATTGGTTTCTGCTTTGTGAAACCGAATATTCGTTTAACTACGAATTTAACCGAACAATATGTGTTTTTTACTTAACATAATTTTGTTTAGATGTATTTCTGACAACGCTATTATTTTTTCATCCTCCGTGATACTTGACTAAACTATCTACCCGGAATCTGTTAACGAAAACAAGGAAGATCCTCCTGAAACAATGACCAGTATATTGCTCCCAACGAGCGGGTTTAAAAAAAATAGAGAAAAAATTTGGAATTGGAATATTTCCAAAAGTGCATATTCCAACTTGTTGTTTCACATATTTGTTATCCTGTATGAGACAAAAACAACTTGTGCTATATTCAATCTTTGAACACTTGAATACGTGTAAAGGAAAATTCCTCATTTATCTTGATTTTCATACTTTGTGTCACTTTCTATATTTTCTAAACGTTAGTTCTCGGGTCTTCCGTCAGTGATACATGTTTAATGAAAATTTTAAAAGTTTTAGTTTTAAGATTTTTTTTAGTATGTACCGGGTGATTAAATTTCTGCGTATGTCAGCAGTGCAACTGAAACGGCTGACGGAAGCATTATGGCCAACACAATGCATTATGACACAATGTAACACTAGGAATATTGTTAACAAGTTTCAGATACTAGTCATAAAAAATTAGTCGAAACTTCCCTCGTCCCTGAAATGACAGGTATATGACTGAAAAATCACTCGAAGTAGGCATTGAAATATTATTTGATACAAAAGACTTGTCTTCTCTTATAATAAATATATAATAATATATAACATTTATCAGAAACATAACCCTACATTTTAAAACAGTTTCTATCACATATCCAGCCCGTGCAATGGTAGACAGGAACTTACATTTAAAACAAACCGCTACAGTGGTTGGACATGTGACAGATATGAAATTCCAACGTCTATTTTGAGTTATAAAATTTGATTTTGCAAATTTTATTCTTGTTTAAGACAACCCTTATAACTTAAAATAAAAATATGGATTGTTCAACTATAGATAAAGGTATTCCGAAAATTTTCGCACAATGAAGTAACCCGTGTTTAATTTAATCAGTAAAATAATAGTATACTGTTAGTCTTAATTACAGCATCTGCTCATACATTAATACAGTTTTCTCTTTGTTTCCACATCACTAATGAAAATCGAAAAGATGAGTGCACTCACGACTGAGTTCTGAGCTACTCCTAGATTAAGTTTATATGCATGGATTAAAAAGTGTTTGATCAATGCCAACTATAATTTTCATGCGCGATAACGAAATAATCCATTTCATTACATATTTAACCCCTTATTTCTAATGAATACATTCTTTGTTTAACAAAATCGTAATTTCCGGAGTCAAAAGCACATGACAAATCGTAAAATACGGCTCCTACACAATTTCCTCTGTCATTTTGTCTATTAATAAAGTCTACAAAATGGAAGGTTGCTATTTGTGTTGATTTACTCTGCCTATACCCATTCTGAGAAGAACATAATAATAACCGTATAAGAACTGGAGGTTTGAGTGAGACACAGAAAGTTTAAAGTTATAAATCCATTGAAAACAAAACTCTTGCCCGCCGCGCGTAAAGGTTCCAACTGTATTACAAAGTCCTAAAACTAATGAATTACCCCAGAGTAAACATCGAATTGACATTAACTAAATTTTGTATAATGCCCCTTAACAAGTATTTTATGAAAAGTTTGGATTATGAAGAGACACAAATTTAGCAGCTCAGGAATACTGTGAACCGCATGCAGAAAACACTTCTGAAAAACAATTTTTTAGGTGGTTATGAAAATCATAAAGGTAGAGTGAAAAATACACTTAACATTGTTATTTTCTCTTTTGCTTGTTATTATTTAGACTAATCTTTAAATTTCGACTACAAGTTAATCTTTCATTCCAGGCTCGCAACAAGCCCGCCGACGGTCACGTGGCCCAGAAGCTGCAAGCGGGCCAGAGAACGCCCACCCATGGCCCCAAAAACGGCCCCCCGAAGACGCCCAGCAAGCCTTCGCAGAAGAGCGCTGCCCAGAAGGGCCAGCCCATTAAGCAAGCTCCGGCCAAGGCCGCCGCCGCCGCGGTTAACAAAACGACCAAGAAGACCAAGAAGGGGAAGCATCACCAGCATGATCTCATCGTCACCATTAACCTGGTGAGTTTTAGCCGTGTAACCCTAACCTGGTTTGGACCGCGCGATCTTGAAATGTTGATATAAATAGCTGGGCTTTTTAGCTCGGAAATGACTCGATGACAACGAAATGAGGATGTTTGCTGCAACGGAATCGCAACGCTGATGTTAATTAGGTCTGGGGTAATTAGATACGACGGCGGTGTCAGGTGGTTGGGAGGGTATTGAGAAAAACAGAGTATTTCTAATGCGATTCACAGTTAGGCGTACTCGTTCATGAATAATTTATGGGTGCAACGTCGCATTTTTGTCGTTTGGTAAATTGGCGGCTGTTCGGCGGCTCCCCATGGTGACTGGCGTTAGAATATTCCAAGTGACACAGAAAGTAAAGCGTCCTGAAAAACTTGACTTACGCAGCTGAAATTTTTGCAAAATGTGCTTATTTATACCCTTAAACCATTAATTAGTAACGAAGTTATGATATTTAAAAGCTGAACAATTCATTCCGGTCTTCATTAATCCGGGCTTAACCTTTTAATTTTAAGTCCTCTTCAGGTTAAAGAAACTGATTTTTCAGCTGAATTCACGCAATAAACACCGCATTTAATCGTTATTGATGTTGTTCAAATTCACTTTCTGCGTTATCGATATTTCACGAGTTTGCTAAGCTATAATACCGAACAGAAGAGGGAGGTGAACAGAGGAGAGAATCGCTTATAAATATTTAACAGTAATAGTCTATTAAACCCAACAAATCTTCATCTTCATATAACTCACTAACATAACAAGGTTCTGCATCGAGGAATTCATAAATGCTTAGGTTAAATCACTCACTGATGGGAAGAATTAATGAAGTGATGAAAGTCAAATTAATTGCAGCATCGATTTTGTAAATACTTCTTGAATAATAATTAAAATTAGTGTGTAATTATTTGCACTAAAATGTTTGCAAAACTATAGTGTTAAAATACTGTTTGTGTTTTATTAGAGAGTTATTCAAGGGTACGGATAGCTTTTTCATTTTCAGAAAGGTCCTCTAACACACACTTTGCTTTTGCTTGTTTGTTGTATTGTATATTATATTGCTCCTATTTCTTTTTCCTTTTCTTTAAAACTCTATTTTTATTATGTGTCGTAGCATTTTTACAGTTCTAGTAAAAGTTTTATTATCCTTATTCATCTACCCAATGTTCGATAAAAGCTGTTGTGTTGAATTTTCACAAGCATTTCCAAAGTGAGGATTTTTTTAAATTCGTTGTCTTTTAAAACAAAATTTCAGTGTATTCTTTACTAAGTGATTATATCCCGTTTTATTATTTCTTATTTACTACCCTTTTTTGGATTTCAACATTTTTTAAGAAATGTTTCTCAGGGTAAATGGTATTTAAATTTTATAAAATACTCCTACACTTGCGGTTTATGAATCCGCCTTGAGTTTTTTTGCAAAAAAATCAAAATTGTATAACACAGTTTTATGGAATAGTCGTTCCACAGGAATAAGAAACTTTGAGTAAAGTTATAAACTATAAGGACAAAGAAACCGATTGGATCTTTGTAATTTACCACAGTAAGTAGCTTGGCGTCACTCTCCACTATATTAAAGGGGTGTTCGGCCGAAGCTACTTATGTTATGATTTATAATTTTAATCAAAGTTTTATAATACACTCAGCGGCATGAAAAACGGGCCAGCTAATATTTTTTTGAGTACAGTGCTTCGACTTTTTTACTACGCTTATTTTTGATGTTGTTTCTTGATCAGCATATTAATTGAATGTACCTGCACCCCAAACTTTAGATGAGCTTCAGAATATGCTTTTAAGGGAATGAAAGAATCTCCAACAAGAAGAAATAAACAATTTATTCCTTGGGATGCCCTGGAGAATGGCAGCAGTCTTACAGATTCGTGGGAAAATACCCGTTATTGACGTCCTTAAACAATGTGACAATGATGATTGATTTTGCTTTTTTGGAAACTTTAACTTTTGTTTTCAGCTTTGTTTGATTATTGAATTGTTTTCATTTTCTATTGAAATAATATATTTTTTAGTTCTTTTTGGATAAAAACATTAGAATAAGCGTTGCCTAACAATATCAAAGTATTGCAACCGAAATCGTACTTTATTTTGCACAAAAAAAAATTAGGGTGGCCCATTTTTCGTGCCGGTGAGTGTATATATAGGAAGAGAAGGTCCAGTGATCGATCATACCTTAATTCATTAGAGCGTGCGTTTCCAATGGGCCACTTTTTTTTTCTTACACTGTGACTAGTATTAGCTGTATATTTTAACTTATAAGGGTAGTCATAAGAATTTAATTTTCGCAAAATATAATTGTACCAATTTTTTTAGGAAGCTGGATTTGCTGGACTGTACGACAGCTTTTTTCCAAATCCTTTATTCTTTTCGGGTGTATTTATTGTTATATACCGGTATATTTTTATCTTTAATGTTGATGTTGCTTTCCCTATTATGTACCTTTTATCTTTCTATCAAATTTTACACACTTATAACCTTTGCATTTATTATAAATTCTTCTTTTGAATTTCTTATTCAATACTTATTATAAAATATTCTTCCTTTTCCACGTCTTGCTTTTATTCTCAGATTGTTAATCATTTTAACTTATTAATTTTTATTCAGATTTCTCCCTTTATTGTGTTTTATTTTGGTTTCGCCTCCTTTTTACTACCCCAGTGTAAGCTAAGGAATAAAAATAGCGCCTGGCTACTTTCATGTTTTCTCGAAGTTTTATGACCCCTGGAGTACGAAAAAGCAGGTTTCGCGTTTCCATCTGTCTGTCGTCTGTCTGTTGATTTTTGACGTGACAACGTCTTATAATTCGATTGAGCCGGCTGCACGCACGAAAAAACATGACTCATGCGGCGTTACCTCGCTCTGAGGCGTTCCATGTGACTCATGCGGCGTTACCTCGCTCTGAGGCGTTCCATGTAAGGCTTGAAGTGCAAGCGAGAATGCGACAAAATTAAAACAATAAGTTAACAGAACTATTTCACGATGAGTAAAACATCGATGGCTTTACTATTTAATCGAAATAATTTTCGAGCGTAGCTATGATTTAAAAAAATTAAAACATAAATATTAAATCTTCCACATATCACAACAACGTGTCTGAAATTACAGGTTGGACCAGCCAGCCGTCAAAGGGAACATTTTCTCCTATATCAAACACATTGAGGCGGGCTTTTTAAACACTAGATTTACGAAAATCTTAATGTTTCCAAATTTTAAATTTTAAATGTAAGATTTATAAACAATAATTTAATCATTGTTTATTCTTATAATGAATTATTTGAAATTATTACTTTTTTATAACAAATTACAATTTAATTTGCAAAAATAATGAAGTGACTATTGAAAAAATTTAATTATATTATTAAAATAATAAAATCAAAATTTAAGAAATTTTAATAAATTATTTTCTTAAGACGTTGTCACGTTCAACTATCGTCAGTAAACCGACTTTACAGACAACCGATTTTTTTTATTAGACAGATTATTCCCGAAATTGCCAAATCAATTGTTATCAGATTTTATATACTTTTTAGAAATATCGTATGGATGGTAAAACGCTAATCAAAATTTGCACCAACAATGGGATAGCATCCCCTCAAATTTTTCTTAGCAAAGAGGATTTAGATTTTATAAAACAGAATACTCTTGTATTTGCTGTTTATGAATCCGCCTTGACATTTTACCAAGGCATCCAAATTTTCGCAAAAAAATTGATTATGCGCATTATACTAGTAAGTATAAGAGTATATATAGTTGTCAGGTGAAAATCGCGCACGTTCGATTCTGGCATGAGTTTTTATTTCTTACATTATCACAGCCATTATATATATTCTCTTATTGATCAAATCTCAAGAATGGTACATCCCATTGTTTTAATATTAGCATTGCACTACAGGTGTTGGAAGTGACATAGGTGTCCGTGCTGAAATAATGTTGATCGGAACTGTCAGACCACTTTCTCCCCCATTTTCGTCCCCGTCTCCTTCCGCCATTCTTTTCCCTTCTTATCCTCTTCTCTCACAAAACTTTTCCCTCCTCTTTCTTCCATTTTCCTTAGATTTTCCCCACTTTTCTGCCGCCCTTCACCCTCGTTTTTCTCCTCACTTCTTCACTTGCTCTTCTCTGCCTTCTCTCCATTTTTAGCACGTTTTCCCATTTTTTCTTCTTTTCAAACCATTTCTTTCCTCATTAGTCCTCTTCTTCCACTTTCTTCACAATTTGTCTCTCGTTTTTATTTCCGTCTTTGCGCCTTTCTTTTCCCCTTTTCTCCCTTTCTCAACATTTCCTCCTCTTTTTCCTCTTTCTACTCTTCTTCTCTTTATTCCTTCATCTTTCTCTTCAATTTATCCCAATTTGGACCGTCATTTCCTGTCTTCTTCCCCCTTCCTGTCCTTTTTTCTCCCCCGTTTTTACTTGCCAAACATAAGCTAAAAGAGTGTTGTAATTGGATTTACTCGACGAGTGGCTAATTTCATGTTTTTTTCGACGTGTTAACCTTTAGAACACGAAAAAATAAGACTTCTCTGTCCGTCTGTCTGTCTTTGTTTTTATTAGACATATAATTTCGGAAACTGTCAATTTTTTTAAGTATTTTCATGTACATGATAAAACACTAATCAAAAGTTTTCTAATCGTCCGCACAAACAATTTGATGACGTCAGCTCAATTTTTTTATAATAAAGGGTACTTAAATTTTATAAAATAACATTACACTCTACTTATAGTTTATGAATCCGTCTTGAATTTTTACCCTAGATTTTCGCAAAAAAATCACAGTGGATACTCATGTTTTATACAAATGTAACAGTCAAGTCCCCCCACACTCACTTTTCTACTCTTATTTTTCAATTCTTTCCTCACTTCTTTCTCCCTCCTCTTCTCTTTTTTTTCTATCTACATTTTCCTTTCCCCTCCTTTTCCTCCACTTTTTCTCATTTTTTTGACTCTTCTACTAATTTCAGTGAAATCTACATAGAATGTATCTTACAAAA